GCTGTATGCTATAAGTGGATCAAAATGGTTTTTATTTTTTGTTGTACAATTTACAAAACATTTTTATGCACATAATATATGCCTACGATTTTCATTTTTATAATATATATATATATATATATATATATATATTTTAAATCATATCACAAATCTGCAGCGTTTCATTAAAATGTTTCTTTTCCTCCCAACAATGTATTTCACTCGTGGATCCCAATTCCGTTACAAACCATCAAGTACCTATTCACAGGGTCCGACTGGCTCTAAAATGCACATTTTAGACCGATATGTAGTACAAATAGTACGATTAATATGAAAATTACTAGTACTAGTTGTACTACTATTTGTACTAATTACTTTTTAAAGCCAAGCAGGCAAGAGAATACCTACCTAACAGATAATATAAGCGCACAAGCCACGAATAAATGATTTGACTTTGTTTTTAATTTTTTTTAAAGGCAATGTTCTATATCTCGGATCAACAGCTTAAAACCTTAACTATGATTTTTCTTTTCGTATAACCACAAACCACTTTACATTTTTTACTTCAAATTTTACTCATGTTTTTAAATGCAATTATAATTTGTTACAATTTATAAATTATATAAGATATAACGTATCTACCACAGTACTGYCTTTATGAAGGTAAGCAATTAAAACTGCGATTTATTTACTATAAATTATAACAACAAAAATGTGATTAAACATTGTAATATAATATCATGAAATGACTCCATAGACTTCGTAAGTTCACTGTAATGTATAATATGCATTTAAATGTCGGTAAGTATAAATTAGGTTAGGTATAGTTAGGTTAGGTATAAATTATAAAACAATATATTGTATTATTTAAATGACAGAGGTCTACCGTACAGCCGAAGGGGGGGGGGGCGGTCGTCTACCGTGCGTTTACACGTTAATAGGCCAATTATTCGGCCCTGAGTCTATACATCTATATGAGTACCTATACATACCTAACAAGGTATAGTCTAGGAATACATATTATTATTATGGCATGTTTATAATATGTATATGTATGTTGAAACTTCAACTTGAAACTCTAAAATAGCATCTATTTATATTTGTCATCTGTGATTCACTTTGCGTTAAAATTATTGAAGTTAACAACGTACCAAAATAATATGTTCAACTAACATTCACGCGTAATAATTCGCGTGTTCAGACGACTGAAGTACCAATTAGTACTTATTATGGAGAAAAATTATTGCTATTTTATTTCTTTGAAAATGTGTATTAAATTTTTTTGATGAGTGATGGTTTCAATTTTATAGTTTCCTAATATATAAAAAGATCTATTTTACTTGTTTAGTCGATTGTAAATTTATAAAATATATACAAATTATACGTCATAATGTCATATACCTACATGTTTATGAAAATATTTCGCACGCAAACGTACCTATAAACAATAAGCGTATGTATAACTTTACTTATACATAATATGATTTTCGGGCTATGGTAATAAGCAATACTATGATTGATATGCTAATTTTCTATGGTTAACGATTTCWGAATCAGCACATCGCAATATTACCATTCAAAATCGTGTATTTGTTATACCTCAATCAATGTCACACACTGTGTTGAATAAAAATTATTTATTTTCAAACATTCGGTTGCTCAAAAACCATTTATACCTTATAACTGTCGACTTTGTACCTTATTCGTGACAAATAAAACAACGACAAGGTACCTATAAAAAATTATAAATATCAATAGCTTTTTCTTTATCATTTATATCTGCTTTACTCATACATTTCATACTGATAACTAAAACAAAAAGACCTAATACAATTTTAAGGGCAAGGGCATGACTGTATAACTGATATACAATATAATATCTATACTAAAATATTATTAACAAATAATATGTAATAATATATTATATATTGTGACATTAWATTTTCAGTATATAGGTATATGAAAAGTAATTAAATTTAATCTATATTATGAAATAAAATATGGACAAAGTTATATATAATGTTTGGGAACTGTTTATTAGAATTGTTATAATGTTATAGAAATACTAGATTATTGTATTTTCTAACGTACCTATGTGGCTATGTGTTACCTGTATAGGCTGTACCTATAGTTTTCAGTGTGCGGAAATCAACGGAAAACGCGGTGAAACTTGAAAAAACGTGCAAATTAAATATTTTAGTTTTCGGAAATAAATTACGCTTATTTATCTTGAGTGTGTGGTCATAATAACTTAMTTACGAAAACATAATAGATAGGCACGTATGTACATAGCCCAGCGAATAAGATTTCATTATTCCAAATACTATCATTACTTTAAATTTTAATCTATGTATACAGAATATTTGCATATAGGTACCTACCACCTAAAAAATATAGGTATACCTATACCTATACCTAGCAATAATATTAATTATATATATATATATATTATTATATTATAGCTTTTCTGTCACTATGCTGTAGTAAAAAATATAAAATAATAAATGGTAGACCATTAAAATAATTTGACCTGAAAAAATCATCGTACTGTTGTATATATTATTATATATATTTTTAATGCGTTGTGATTAGCTAATTGTGTTCTGGCAATCTTGCAACGGATGTATTTCAATGGTAATTTAAACGGAAATGGGACAGCTGCATGCATAGGGTAATTACTATATAACATTTAGGTACTTATAGCTTCACTGTGGGTTCTATATTATGTGCCAGACGTCAGTGGTAGRTAYCTACATACGCATTGAAATTTATTAGGTATAGAAAATCTATTTTATTTTTAAGTTTCAATGTCTTTGGAATTTTACGTTGTATATCCACTGATACAAAGAACATAATATTTTTAAGACGTATTATTTTGGCATTGAATCTACTTAAATGAAATTTTCAAGTTTTCTGCACTACCGGTATTACAGCTCATACTTTTTTTTTTAAATAACAGTAACTTACTTTGATATTATACTGGGTTTAAGCCAGCTGATTAAAGTATTTAATTCAAAAATTGTATTATTTTTAAATAAATTTAATAAAGAACGAGAGTTGTATCAAATTTAAGCATAAATACATTTTTTATTATGTAAAAAAAGACATTTAAACTGTGAATTAGCTGATAAGTTTATTTTTTTATACATTTAGATATATATATTTTTATATGATAGTTTGTGATAAAGTACAGTACTTAAGTAGTATAAAATATTTTATTAAAATATTACAATATTAGACTAATTAGAGTAATTATAAAGTAATGCTAATACTAATAATTTAATAACGAACAATGTTCCAAACTACCTATTTATTTTTCAAGATTTTAAAAATGGAAAAAATTAATTTTTAATTAAATCTGAAATGGCTCTTATTTGGTAAACTTTTAGATCTATATAGATGTTTAGAATTGTGTCTCCTCGTCAGTCAAAATTTATTTAAAAATAGGTCAACACAAATGTGTCGATATAAAAGGTATAGGTATTGTTATTTAAACACATTAAAATGTTGTACTGCACATTCTCAAACTAACACTCTGAGAATTTTAAATATTCATAGTAAACCTAATTTGTCTTAAAGTTAGGCTTCAATCCTATCTAATTTGTCTGGGAAAATGATTGTTGCCTAAATTAGTAAATTAGTGAACTACAGTACGAACATACTATTTATATACTGTATGTATATATATATGTATGAAATTTAATTTAATTTTTATATCGTTATTATATTTTATTAGGGGATTTCATTGCAGTCTGGATATTAGTATTGCAATATTATTAATATAATTATTGTTAATGACTGACCGTTTTCAACTTGCAGTCTAGTGATGACCGTAGATATCGGATAACATATCACTACGCCCACGATGTTCGAGATAAATGCTGAGTAAAAGTTGACGAACCAACTCGGGCAGCCGTCCTTCCCGTGGAAGTAGGAATAGTTTTCTTTGATGTGTTCGTAAGTCATAAGATCGATACCGGTGAACAAAAAAATGCTTAGCGTACCGGGCCAGAAACCTCTGAAGAATGCCCACACACCTCCTCTTTTGTAAGTCTTGACCACTACGTCCATGGTATTTGTATACTTGCCAACAATGAGACGTGTTTTTACAATCTATGGGAGAAAAATTATTGTTGTTATTATTTTATTTGGGTTTATAAGCTTTTAAAAACATTCTATGTAAAAAAAAAATATCCTAAAAATAATTGGATTTTAGTACCTACATCAATGCAGAGATATTGATTATAAATTTATTTTTAAAGATGTAATAAAATAGTCCATCAAAGAATAAACGCAGTATTTTTTTTACCATTTTTCTTACTTTGTTACAACTTAGTTTTAACGCAATAAATAAAATCCTTATTCGAAAGTAAGTGCATCTGAACATCAAATATTTTTAATTTATATGAAAAGTACTGAGACAAAATGTGTTATTGACGAATGGTTTTTGATGAAATATTTTTGATAAATTGTCTTCTAGATTATAGATTATTTATAAGAGATAAGATATTCAGTGAACTAAAATGGGTAAATTTATCATTGGTGAGCTGAACTTAAATTGTGAATGAAGCAATTTCAAAGTAGGTACCTATTTAGCACCATGACCATTCCGCATTATATATTTTAATACAAATTATTTACTTATAACAAAGTCATGATGAAGATAAAATGTGGCTGACCTTTACATAGATTCCGACACCACTGTCACCACCTCTTTGAAAGGTGATGAAGTTGCGTGAAAATCAAGGATTTCGYTACGGCCCGGCAGAGCATAACATGATAGGTACTTAATTTAATAGGTATATACTACACACTATATCAAATGAGTAAGGGAATCGGGTAATTTATTATTATGTTATTATTTATGCTTGTGCAGTTCAGTGCTTATGCAAATTAAGTGGGAGAGTTTACCCTATTCATTCTAATTACAATATTGTATATAGCTTAGGGTGTAATATAATGCTATGATGGTTATATTATTAAAACAACGRTGTTAGTGGTGTTACACTTCCTTAATACATACTAGATGTACCTACAATTGTATATTTGTACATAATTCACACTTGCATTATAGAAGTCTGTTGATGCTGCATGAAAAATACAATGTTATTATACCACGCAGGCGAATTGTTATAAATTTGTGAAACGAGAACAATAAAATCATATTTATGGCATCAGTTAGCTGCGTGTACATTAAACGTTAAAAATGACCTTTGACATGGTTATAACAAAACGAGTTTATCTAAAGCTTTAAAGGCTCGTTTATTTTTCAATTGAAATGGTATTATCACTATGATATTTAATTAGGTAAAATAATATTATGTAGGTATAGTCGTCATATTGTGCAAATAGTGATGAGCTAGGTATATGGCTCATGGTGATGACTGATGGTAGGAATTATAATATAATATTATCGTTGTATATTTGCATTGGTGCATAATGTGTTTTCATAATGATAACATAGTTTAATTGTTGTAATGAATAATATGATCTTCGAATGTTTTTGAAAAATGTCAGTACATAGGCAATAACAAGGTCAATGGAAACAAAACAAAAATAAATTTTAAATTAAAGCGAGAAGTGCATTCAAAATTATACAATATAGAAACATATAGTTCTCTCAGTGAGGACCAGTATTCATATGTAAGTAGGTATGTACTGTACTACATACTATGTAGTAAGTATGTATGAAATAAAAATAAATAAAATTGAATATAATATAATTACGTTAGGTATGCACTTATTGTACCTATACGGCTTTGAAATAGATCCCTTTYATTAAAACATTAAATAAACCGAAACACAATTGCACAYGAAAAAATATTTAATAAAATAATATTAAGCTTACATCAAACTAATGATGAATGAAGTAGACTTAGGGAATAGACAATAGTTTTATTTTAGAAGAACTCCAAATTTTAACTGTCCACGAGCTTAGTGAAATTCATCTGTGACCAAAACTAAAGCTCGACAGCGTAGCTGAGGTGGGCTAATTATGTTCAGATGTTATATTCCATACATTCAGGAGTATGTATATTACACATTCATACATTTTTTTTGTTTTTTAACTATTTTTTCTCTTAAACTAATAACGAGATTAAATCCGATGTTTCTAATGAAACACCATCGGTGCAAATAGACATTTGAACAAGGGGGTGATTAAGCTTCATGTTTTTTGTGAATTAATGGGACCTAACTTTTTAAACAATTTCTTAGGGGGTGCTAAGGATCCAAGCCACCCCCCTAATTGCTCTATTAAAACACCTAATATTTATAAAATCGTAAGTTAATAATATTAACTATATTATATTTACAATACATAACATATAACATAATATAATCATTGTCATATAGACGCTGACAATCAARAGAATCATAGACAGATTTGCCGATAAAAAAACGAAACAATAATGCCATTATTTCTGTGAAAACTGATAATATTGTGTGTATTATTATTATTTTCTATTTCTATTTATTTTTGTACATTGAAAACAATASTGTTCAATATTAAAATATAATATTTTGAGTTTGGTGTTTTTTAGAAAAAATTGCCATGTCTAATAATATAGAGAAAATATTTGGCAGCGGATTAATAAAAAACATTTTTCAAAACATTTGAATCTCCATTACGAGGGGTCCAACACAGGTACTGCCTATTAAGTACCTTGGACCATTCAGAGTTTCTGAGATTATTTTAAAAAGTATAAAAGCGTACATCTAAACATAAAATTATGACGTATAACGTATTAAAAAAAACTATTTGACCCATCACTCTCCAGAAATCGGTTTTCAGTTACAACCTTGCAATCACTTATGATACTAGTATAGATCTAACCTCTCTTTACATTTTTGAATTTTAGCGAATTTCAAGTAAAAAATCTTATTGTAAAATCAAGTTTCACAAAATAACATATTTTTAGTTGATTTCTTGTTTTAAAATATTTATGTTTTTTTAATTTATAATATTCAACTATAATTGATATACATTAACGTAAACTTGTAATCGCCAGTGAACATTYAAAATGATATTAATTTATAATTTAAATTTCAAATGTGTATTTTGAATCTGGAAGGTACCTGTAATGATTTTTAAAAATTTAGAGTATAATAAAATATAGATATCGTTGGGTCGCCTGTGTGCGACGATGCGCAGAGCGCACATCGCAAGGATGTTTAAAGCGCAGTCGTGTTTTTATTGATTATCTACTTACTATAGCTGCCCCACCCAGTGTTACCCATGACAAATATTTGTTTTTAAAAATATATTAGTACAAAACCCTATACATTCTGTAGCATCTACTAATTATACTAATAATATATGTTTTATGTATAAAATAAAACACACACACACATATATATATATAATATATATGTATGATATTATTTTAAAATAAAATTAATGGATAATGGTTAACTATTATTAAAATTATAAATGATAAAACTTACAACTTGCGATTTCTGCATCATTTTAACCACATATGTATATACTTTTTTAGTATAAACACAGAATAAATTAAAACTGTTATTATTGTTRTTTGTTAATAATTATTATTTTTGAAAATTACACAATAATAAGGTGAAAGTCTAGGATTTTAATAAACTAAATTAAATGCTTTATGCCTTAAAATTACTTCAATCTTTTTTTCTTTTTTAAAATTTCCTAATAAATTCTGATTTAATTTTTGTATAGGTACCTAATTGATATTATATATTTTAAAGGATACTAAAAAATGTTTAGAGACGTAACTGATCGTTTTGGACTTCTTTAGTATATTCGCTTGGATTATATTTCATTAGTTTCAATTTTAGTTTTTTTCCAAAATAGGTATATCAATAAAARATTATTCGTTCGYKGTTCAGTCGGAAAGTTTAAAAATATAACACAAGGTTTTTCATAAGTTTTTATTAGAACTAAATAAATATTAACGATACAAGCAACAATTTTTTTTTTTTATAACCATTTTATTTTCAAATTTTTACAAAACTACAGTAAATTTATGAAATATTAAACTTTTATGGCGAAGACTTTAAAGTTTAATACAGAAGCTTTCATACAAGTAGTGTATGAACTACTATTAACTAACTACTACTTCACTAAAAATACACAGATTATTTTACGATCATTGATATACAAATGCTAAATGCAATGTTTTTGTTAAAAAGAATTCAACCCACCTACGATATAATATTACTATAATAGTTATTATTAATTATTTATATTAACTATCGATTATAAGCTATAACTTATACCTAATTCGATAGGATGTACAAACATGGTTTTATGCCCTTACTTACTAGCCGAAATTTGATAAATATATTTTTGTAAAGTAATAATAATATGTGAGCAATGAAGGAGATCATATCATGTACTTTCCTCTTAATTCCAAAAACTTGAAACAATTCATATTGAATGAATTTATGTATTTCCTGTACATAATGATATTTTCAAAATAGTAGTGACGTGGTGTGCTAATTTTAAGCAACTTAGATATTTAAATTGTAAAAATAATATATTATTTTATTCTATCTATTATATAGGTAAAGCAATTGTTCGTATTTATATATTTATTATTTTTAACTATTTATTTTTATATTCAAATATGCAATATACGTTAAAAATTAAAAATTTAGTACTTGGTACATCACCGCTTTAACGCTCAGACCCAACGCTCGAAATCCCGTTATTGATTTTTAGGGCGTGTCTGTTTTCCTCCCAAATCCCATTGCCGTTTTCTCCCACGAACAGCTTTCAGCCCGAGATCAATAATAAGAAAGGATTCCATTTTCGTCCAAATGTAGTTGCTCATTTAATAATATTGTACTCTTACATACAAATGTTGTATGAAGTAAACTTTATTTTAATATGGGTGGGTTCTACTTGGGCGGTGTCATAATATTATTAATAGAACGCTACAAAGATATTTGTTGTCTCTATTTTAGATACAAGTGCATAATTCACTAAATTTAGGATCAGCATATTTATTAGAGCGAATTGACCCACTATAAAACTTAATAGGTAGTAAGAACATTATCTGTGTTTGTATGTGGATATTTGACAATMATTTTTAGTAAGTTAACCGTTTATAATGTACCATTAAGTTAAAATAACTATCTTTAAATCTTAATAATCGTATATAATTCACATACATACACAGATAATATTATTACTATTAAGTTTCACAATAGGTCGATTCACTGTTAACATACAAAGACTTTGACGGAGACAACAAATATCTGTGTAGCGTCCGCTTAAGTATCTATCATATTATATAACATATAAATGTGTGTTGAAGTAAAAATGATTTTCACACTTGAAATAATTTACTATCATATAACGCAATGAATAAAAATCCCTTATTACTTATAAATAGACAAAATATATGACTCATAATTTTTTGTTCTAACAAACTCAATGCATAATTTTTATTGATATTTTTGTGTTTAAAAAAAAATAGTAATAGTTATACCTAAAAAAAATGATGTTGAGTGGCTTTGTGAGGCGCGATCGTAGCGACGAGTGTACGTACCGGCCGGTGTTACTATTGCTCGCGGATGAGTGACCACTCGGGATTTTTAGCAACATATTATCCTTGCCATACATACACAAATACGTGTTACAAACTCCCAACTTAAAACCTACAAACAAATACACAAAAACAACCCCTACCGTACCATCCCACACCCTATGGCTTATTTAGCCATGGGTCTCCACTAGTAAAAAAAAATGAAATTGAAAGGTTACCTAGGTACTTATTTAATTATACTGAATACCATAATAATTTTATTTTCGTTTATTTATAGCAAATTAGCAAAGTAAACAGTAATATTTATTTTGTCGAAATGGTCGATGACGATTGACGACTACGTTTATGCTTTATTATAGCTTAATATCTTATTATTTATAGAGACAACAATATACGAGTATAGTATATTATATATATAATATGTATGACGTATATCTATAAAGTTATGTTTACACATTTTGAATTTTTCAATATTATAAATATTTAAAATTTATCTATTTTTTATTAATTTTATTAGACTTTTAATAATCATGCTAAACATGAATACCATAAACATTAAACTAGGTACCTTAGAAAAAATTTTGAGAGGGTGGGGGATTTTCCAATTTTCACCTCCCATTTAGTTGTCGTTTTTTTTTTTTTTTTTTGATCCCACCCCTTTCAGAAATCATGTCTACGCCATTGTGCTCAACAGTTCCAATTTAGCTCCGTTAGTTTACAAMTTAGAGTAAATTGACCTCTTATAAGAATTAAAGGTAACATTATTATCTAGGTTTTCACAGAGGCTTTTTATTATATTTCAATTTTGAAGCAACTTATGAGTATTTTTAAAACTGTGAATTGCTTGTATATCTTAAAATACTCATAACTCGCTTCAAAATTGAAATACAATAAAAAGCCTCTGTGAAAATCTAGATGATAATGTTACCTTTAATTCTTATAAGAGATCAATTTACTCTAAGTTGTAAACTAACGGAGCTATATTGGAACTGCTGAGCATAAAATTTGCCATGTTACGCAYTTGAAAGACGAAGACAACACATGCGGATGTGGTGTCCTCTTAACCGAATAATGTCGAAATTAGCCATTCGTTTTGTCTAATATGTAATTTTTCGTTTATAAACATGAAATATCAATATTATCTGAATAATTAACCAGGTAACATTGGATAATGTTAAAAATTAAATATTAAATACAGTTGTTAGCATTCTATACAATAATAAAGCGTTRGAATKCCAGAGTATAATAGCATAATTAATCAAAAACCAAGTCAGTCAGTTATCTTACCGATAAAGTGAACAATATAATATAATATATGAGCTTAATATTTCATTTTACATGCTATAGTAAACGCTATATAAAATGAGAAATAAACTCAAATTAATAATTTATGCATTTTTTGGTAATTATTAATTGTATTTTAAATATATTCAAAATTGATAATAATTTAAAATGATTTTATACATTTTCATGGTTGTCAAGATATCAAAAAAATCTTGGATGRTACCATATTATCCGGTTAATGTTAACATTAACCAACATTTATTTATGTTCATGACGGGTAATATTAACGATTTTCTAATGTTGTATTATCCGACTAATGTCGACTTTATCCAAATGTTAACATTACCCTAATATATCTAAATATATATGATTAATAACAGTTGAGTTACGTGCATCGAGTGGGTACAGAAATGTCTGGCCGACCACACCAGCCATCGAGCCAGCCACAAATCTGTCTATGGCGTTCAAGTGGCCATCGTCCCGGAAGGCCTTCAGCCGGCGCTTCGTGTAGTCGTAGACGCTAAACTTGATGGCGAACTCAGGCGACGACTTGAGCAAGTTCAGCCCGTTTCCACGCCAAAATCCGAGTACGCCCTGGCCGTTGTACACTTGTCGGATCACCGCCCGAAAACGGCTGGCCTCGTTAATCTTTAAAATCAAACAAGAATAATTAATTTGAATATTATATAATAATTAGTGGCACTGTTTAGTTAACCTACACACCTTATACGAACATCATCACAGTTATAATGTATTTATTTTTATTATAAATTGAAGCTAATTTTTCAACTTTATTGATTCATATAATATTATTTACTTTTATAATATATAAAATACATTTATGGATATGGCCCCAGCCATATTACCTGAGAATTTGTTAAAGATTAAATAAAATACTATTAATAAATTATTCAACTGAGGTGTTACCCTGCAGCTCTACATGTTTTTGCATTACTTTTGACTAGACGAATGCGAATTATTTATGAATAAGACTTTATTATTTTTATCAAAWGTATATTTTACTTGAAATCATGAGTTGATGAGTCACAGAATTTATGACTTTATATATATATAATGATTCTCACCTTGAATTATTATGCAAAAATAAGTCACTTATATTATGCTGATTGATTAAAATTGCAATTAATAAAATGTACCGTACATTGGTCTATACCACAACTGATACTATACACTTACTTAATCGATTCAAGGACGGATAAATTAAATATTCGCATATCATATTATACATAAATCTACATTTATGCACCACATAATTATTCATGTGCTGACTACTGACTTATGTAGAACGTTGAGTGGGAAACAATTAATATTTTTTTTTATTATTATTGTCGTCACGATTTATGAAACCCCTATTAATACAGTTTATTCGCCTATATCGCGGAAAAGACGTCAACGCCAACAATAGACAAATTAGTAACTATGTCAATTTAATTATGATTTAGATACTTTAAAATATTTAATTAATTCAATTTTTCGATTTTCAATGTATTTAATTAATTATTATTATTGAAAACTGTAATTTGTAATTGTATTATTTAAGTTTAATGACAAAAAATTATTRGATTACAATATATACAGCAGATACAGTACGGCTTGCAGGGAGGGCCATGGATCACCTAGCACACCCCGTGCGCACGCCTATGGCGATGGGCACCTTTTTTAATTTACAGCAGAAAATATCATCAAACGAGTGATTAAAGCGTTAGGTATCTGGTAGGTATATACTTTATATTAATACGTTCAACTACTTGACTAGCTAACTTGTGCACTCGTACTTATATTATACAATTTTTGTTTTTGGTTGAACACAATTATGTGGATATGCTTTGTCACGTTTTATCTTATACTTGATTTTATGTATTATGTATAGCGTATTTCCATACACAGCAATTAAATTGTAGAAATAACAAATAAAACTATTAATTTTACCAAGATATATCAAAAATAGTTTTTATACGTAAAATCTCTTCACAAGTTAACATGTAATATGAGTTATATTTTTTTTTTCAATAATGTCAAAATTATCTAAGTTATTTCAAACCAGTGTTACTAGGTAGTCAAAAAATTAAGTATTACTTGATTATATAAACGTTTAACGATTCTTATTTATAACTAAGTCTTACTTCATTGGTTTCACTAAAATATAAAATATCAATAGATGAATTTATGTATTCATAATATATTGAGCTATAATAACAAAATAAMTATACAGTAAAGCATATTTATTTTAATATAATATTAATTAGTTATATTCGGTTGATTCGTAATAATAATAAACTTTAGTCTAACAGATTAAAGGCTATAGGTATAATATATTTTTATATTTTATTATAGTTAACATTGAAGTCTTAATTTAAGTCAAGGAAAAACTTCATACTCAAACAATTGAGAATAATAAATTTTAACACATTGATTACATATTTCATATATATTTATCCAAATAATACACAACTATTATCTACCTAAATAATAATACAATAAAAAAAGCATTTGTTATTATAATTGAAATTACAATTTTTATACTAATCAAATTGTGGAATTTTTTAGGAACCGCTTAATCGTTTATTACCTGACTATTCGGAGAAAACGACTTGAAGGTCTTTTATTAAACAATAAAAAAGGTATGGTAGTTCGGGAGGTAACTTGTTTATAGTTGGTAGGTCTTCCATGTAAAAGTGTTCGGTTTTTTTAATTATGAATGGCTATTACCTTTTTTTTGTATAAAAAAATTAAACTTAAATAAACTCCAGTAAGAAAAATACTATTTAAGGTAAAATAGGGTTCAAGTCTACTCTGACAGTGAAAAAAATAAAGTTATARTATAAAATTTAAAATTTAAAATTTATTTWAAAAAAAAATTCATGACAATAATCGTCCACGTTAAATGATAGTTACGGATATCATCCCATAATTTAAAAATAAAATTAGTTAAAATTATAAAATTACTAACCTATAAATATACACCCATAAAATTTATAAAACATAAAATAATTTATAAAAATTATAATTTTTATAATGATATAGTATTTGAAAATTTATTATGCCAAAAAAATTACTTATAACTTAAAAATAATAATTGTCCGAACAATCATTTTCATAATATTTCAACATAATTTTCTTGGTGTGTATTACGTCAATAACTATAATACACAATAAGTATTGTAATAATCATAAGATAAGTATGTGTGCTGTCGTAATATGTTTGATTGTTAACTAAAAAATTATGTGATACAACTTTTAGATATTCTAACCAAGATATTAATCCATTATTATCACTACCTATTTACTAAAAGATTATATTTAATTAATATATCTATTATATTTATTTTATTAACATTATATTTTATCATCTATTTTATATGGTCTAGATAAATTATTAAGTTTTTCATAAGTAAAGACTTAATAATACTGCGGAATTTTCATATATTGGCAAATAACACATTACAGCCTACAGGTAAGAAAACAATACTGCAGGTGGAACTTAAATCAAACCTTTTCATTAAGTACCTTTTTATTTAACAGGTATTTTAGCAAAGATAACAATCGCCCGATGCAAGTGCTTACATTTTGGTAAATATTTAATTTATCTACAGTATTGTATTTCATACGTTATATAATACTGAAAACCTATTTTTATTCAAGTCACAATAACATAAAATACGTTTCAGATATTTTGAATAAAATATATTCAAGTATAGGTATTATAATCACTAATTTATTTTTATCTCGTTTTATTTAACGAAACAAATCGTTTATTTCGTAATTAGACGTCACTAACGTAAGTTTACAAATACTATTTACTACTTAAACTTACTTAACAGTAGTATAGTACCCGTCATCTAACAAAAGTTCAAATAAAATATGTAGGCAAGTCCTGTACAATTAATCTTAAATGAAAAATAAACCGAAACTTCAAGACCGCGTTCGAAATAAAACATAAAATATTGAACCTCAAACTCGTTGTTATAAATAAAACCTGTTCGACAATGAAAACAGGTAATCGGGTATACGCTCTTCCCATAATGTGTATGTATTATTTTCCCAGGATACTTTTATTGTTTGGAAATTCAAATCAAGATAAAGATGTATTGCGTCATAATTCATTAATAAAAAATATTATTGATTTATTGCCGAGCTTATATTTCAACAGTCGTGTTTCGATTGTGAGATCAATCTAACGTATCATGTAGACGCTATTTTATAAATTTTTTTCGTATTGCGCTGTGTCCGGGAGTAAGCATGAAGGCCTATAGTTCGGACGCCTATTTGGCAGAATTTCTAGTTGGCACTCGTAGGTTTCTGGAATACGCGGTTGGGGGGGACGACCTCTCTTTCCAGACAGCGTGAACTGCCCAGAAAGCAATGCCGCCCGTGACCGGGATTCGAACGCAATCGACGCCTTAATCCGCCCTACCACTACACCCTTGTACAC